TGGAATGTTAACTCTCATGGAATCACAGCCTGGCAGGGGTTGGGAGGGACCTCTGAAGATCATCCAGTCCAACCCCCTGCCAGAGCAGGACCCAAACCAGGGCAGGTCACTCAGAAAGGCATCCAGACAGGGCTGGAAAGGCTCCAGAGAAGGAGACTCCACAGCCTCTCTGGGCAGCCTGTCCCAGGGCTCTGTCACCCTCACAGCAAAGAAGTTCTTCCTCATGTTGAGGTGGAACTTCCTGGGCTCCAGTTTGAATCCATTGCCCCTCGTCCTGTCCCAGGGCACAAGTGACAAGAGCTTGTCCCTGCCTTCTTGATGCCCTCATGTATTGATAGACATTAATTAGATCCCCCCTCAGTCTTCTCCTCTCTAGACTGAACAGCCCCAGGTCTCTCAGCCTTTCCCCATCAGGTGTTCCAGTCCCTTCATCATCCTTGTAGCCTCCCTTGGACTCTCCCCAGTAGATCCCTGTTCCTCTGGAACTAGGGAGCCCAGAACTGGACACAACACTCCAGGTGAAGTCTCAGCAGGGCTGAGCAGAGGGGGAGCAGAACCTGTTCTCCCTGGCCCTGAAGGTTTCTGAGCTTCCTTTACCTGCACATCTGCTCCAGGAGCCCCGCGTAGCCCTCACAGATGCCCTTCCCTGCCAGCAGCACCTCCATGGGCTTGCTGGGCAGCTGGCTCTTGTCATGGTAGCCCACAATGTCATACTCTGCAGGAAGGAAGGCAGAGGAAAAGTCACCCCAAAGACTGAGGCAGCAGGAGCAACCCTTGGATTGCTTCTCGTCTGTCTCCTGAGCAAGAGGGACATGGTCTGTCTCTCTTTGTTCCAAGCCCGGGCTGGGATTCAGCAGCTGAATCCAAACGGGAACAAAACCCTGGGCTTTGGGTTTGTTTTCAGGTCAAGTGGGCCTGCCCTGCTATCTCTGGTGAAACACAAGGGAATCACAGGATGGTTTGGGTTGGAAGGGACCTTGAAGATCACCCAGATCCAACCCCACCTCAAGGGAGTTCTGCACTGGAAGGGCTCATCCTGGTGCTGCTGCCAGAGGGAACCACTGAGCTTTTCATGCTCATTCCAAGCAATTTGGGTTAAAAAATACCTGGAAAGTGGCTTGTTGGGGAAGAGCTGAAGTGATTCTTTGCAAGGGAGCCCTATGAGCACCTGGAAGAGCAGGAAACCTAGGTCTGTTTGAACGAGTGCAGGAAAGCAGCACAGGCAGAGCCTGAGGAACTGGTCTGGGAGGGTTAACCCAGGGCTGCCTTGGAACCTCTTCCTGAAAACACAGGGGTTTTTTTCTGCCCAAGCTCCAAGGAATCAGCTGATCCATCCTCCCTTTCATGCTGGGGAAGGGAAGGGAGGGGAAAAAAATCTGTCAAAGTGCTGAATTTGTGCTGTGGGGAGATGCTGAGGGTGGCCTGGGGCTGTGGGGTCCTCTCCACGGTGGCTGTGGAGCACCTGGGGGGCACAGGGAGCTGGGTGGGGGTGCCTGGCTCTGGGTTGGTGCTGGAAGGGGTGGCTGGAAGAACTGGTGGTGCTGCTGCTGCCTGGAGCTCCTCACAGGCTCGTGACAAACCCAGGCAAGGAAGGGGTTTGCGTGGTCAGTGCCCTGCCAGGAGGGACACATCCTGGCTGTGTGAGCTGATTGAAACCCCCAGCACTGGGATTCTTGTGAATAGGGGTCAGTTTCTGCTGGAAGGGAGGAGAACAGGGGCCAAAAATGGCAGGAGAAAAACCTTGTGAGATCACAAATAGAGCTACTGGGGATCAGGGACCTCCTGTGAATGTGTGTGAGGGAACCTGAGCCAGCCTGGCAGCTCCAGGGCACAGGGAGCACAGGAAGCACAGCTGTGCTTCCCTCACCTTCCCACATCAGGGAATCACAGGCTGGTCTGGGTTGGAGGGGACCTAGAGATGCTCCAGGGCTTGTTGGTGGGACAGGGCAGCTGCTGGTGGGACAGGACACCTGGTGGAGAGCAGAAGTGTGGGAAGCCCTGGTCTCATCTCAGGCCTGCTGAGATCAGCAGAGCTTTGCCAGCAACTGCACAATTAGCATCTTAGGTCAGTCCCAAGCAGCTTTAATCTCACCCTTAAATCTGCAGACTGCTGAGCCCACTGCATCTCCTGAAACCCTCTGAGCACTTGACTCATCCCAGCCTGAGCCTCTTGGCTGCTGATCATTCACTCTTTGTGTTATTGACTCATTTCTGCCTGGGACCACCTCCTCCTTCCTTGTCCTCTTGACATCTCCTGGTTATTTCTGAAACATCAGCATGGCCCAGAATGGAGCTGGGGAGGAATGGGCAGGACAACCTGGGTGATGGCAGCTCTCAGCGGGGTTGAAGGGTGCAGGAATGGCCACCAGGCAGGGGCCAGCAAGGATGGGGGATGCTGACCCTGATGTGCTGAGCTGGCCAGGCTGCAGGTGGGAAGTGGAGCACGGGATGTCCCCACAAACCATGGGGACCATGCTGGCAGTGAAGCAGCTGAGGGGCTGCTGGGTGGGCTGTCCAGGCTGCAGGAGCAGCTGTGGGGGCACAAAGCTGGGCAAGGCAGCAGGAGGGTTCCTGGTGGGACCCTCCCAGGGCAAAGGCACCAGCGTATGAGGGGACAGGGGTTGAGGACAGTGGTGGAGATGAAACTTGTGGTGGTGTTAGATGGCTCTGAATGCAGGCTCTGGTGCTTGGCAGCCTGGCTTCATGCTCTGGGTGCTTAGGTGGTGGGGATTTGTAGGGTTACACTTTCAGGTACGTTGGGTAGGAGCTACGGAGTCATCCTCTGGGAAGAAGCAATTCAGACACAAAGCTTGTAGGGGCTGGCAGTGCTGGGAGAGGGGCTGTGGGAACAGAGAGGGTGAGGTGAGCCCTGGGCACAGCAAACTGCCCTGGCAGCCTGACGGGGTGAGAGCAGCTGCCTCATCTCCTCAGCTGGAGGTCTCAACCTACCTATGTGGTGGCAGATCCACATCCAGATGGCTCGGACCTTCTCCAGGTCAGTCCTGGCTGGTTTCAGCAGGGCTCTAACAAGCTCCTCTACACTGCTCTTGAAGTTCACCTGTTTGGGAGGGGGAAGCATTGCAAGGTCCTGGTGAAGAAATTGCTCTGGTAGATCTCCCTGCCCCCTCTTTGTTCTTCTAAAGCTGCTGAGACCCCACCTGCCAGGAGGCTGCTTTGACTTGAGTTTCATTCAAAGCAGCACTGCAAAGCCGTATTTTGAGCAAGAAGTGTTTTTGCCCATAGTTTCTGTCCTAGAGTGAGATCTTTGCACACAGGAAAATGTTTTTTCTCTTGTTTGGGAGGTTTTGAGGATCTGGGGCTGAGCTGGTGTCAGTGCTGGTGGCTCAGGGAACATCCCCCCCAGGGGAGCTGGAGGGAGGACAGAGGCCAAAGCAGGACTTACTTTTAATGCATAGGCATCCAGCTTCTCAAATTGCTGCAGATCTACTGGCAGGGACTTCAAAGAGGATTTGTCCCACGGATAGGCTGGAGAGAAATGAGCTGTCATTGTCTCGGGAAGGGAGGGGATGTGTTTCCTGGCTGCAGGCTGGAACGAGGGGACAGTGCTGAGCTCCTGCCCCAGCCCTGCTGGCATCAGCCCTCAGCAGGTGCTTAGGGAGCAGGGGACATGGGGCCATTCCCAGGAGGAAGCTGTGTGGAAAGCAGGAGCCACCCTGAGTGCTCTGGGCTGGAGCAGGAGGTGCCCCTGCCTCCCTGGGCAGTGCAGGGAACCCCTGGAGGTGCACAGCAGGGAAGGCAGCAGCACCAGGGCAAACCTGTGCTGTGGACACTCTGGCAAGACCCCGGCTTGAAGAAAACCCACCAACACAGCAGTTGTGTTGCAAGCCCTGAGTGAAGGGGCAGGATTCTGCAGGGATTCAAGTGCAGGAGCAGCTGGTCCAGCCCTGCTGTTCCTGCCCCTGCTGGGCTCTGCAGGCTCCTGGCTCTGCTCAGTGGGAATAAAGGGTGAATAACTTGCCCTAATGACCCAGGTAACGTGTTGCTAACAGGCTCTGCAGGAGCTGCTGCTGCTCCCTCTCATCACTGAGCAGCCCAAGGGACCCAGGATGTGTTGGGTGGGCACCTGCCTGGGGCTGCTCAGGGCTCCCCAGCTCAGAGGGTGAGGGAGCCCTGAGCTCTGCAGCCACCTCACCCCCTTCCAGCTGCTGTCCAGGCCAGTTAGTTCCAAAGTGACTCTTCTAGCTCTCTCTGCTGGGTTGGTGTGTCTCTGGGAGGACCAGATTGCAAAGATCTCAAAGGGAATTTGTCGTGTGGCTCCTGGGAGCTGGGAGGAGGTGGATGGATGGGGCTGTGGAGCTGCTGGGTGCCTGGACAGGTGGCCAGGAGAAGGGAGCTGCCTTGGGCTTGGCCTGGGTGTGTGCTGGTTAATGGGTCACCCTTGCTGAGCACATGGGACACCCCTCTGCTGCCTTCTCGGGGGGTCCTGGGACCATCCATCCCTAGTGAAGCAGCTGGCAGGGCTCCTGAACTCTCTGCTCACCACTTGCTCCATCCCCCCCCAAAAAAACCAGGGCTCTGGCTTCTTGGCCACCAGCTCCAGCCTACCAGGCAGGTGGCCAAAACTGCTCCTGACTTGCAGAGGAGGTTCTGCCCCACGGGGGGGTTCTGGGGCCCCCAGCCCTGCTCCCCAGCCCTGTCCCAGGCACAACCCACACCCTGGCACGTGGCCTCTGCTTCTGGGGCAGCCCTGGTGGGCTGGCTCTGGGGTTTTGCCCTGCCAAGGGGCTGTGGTACCGACCCTGGAGAGACAGGAACCAGATGTAGGTGTTCACAGGTTCCCACTCCCTGAAAATGACTTTTTTTAAACTGAGTTATCAGTTTGATCTGTTTTCCTCTTGTTCAGGTTCCAGCTCCCCATGGATATGGGGCCCACAGGAGGTTCAAGGTACTGGCTGGCAAAGCAGCCCCCCTTGGGTGTGGAGCCTTCAGGAGCTCCAGAGGGGGGGTCCCCAAAGCCACCCCCCCCACCTGCCACCCTGACAACCAGGGGGTTGGGAACCTGAAGGTTTCTGCTGGTCATAGAAATGAAAGCCCTTGTGGGTGCTCTGGAGTCTGGGGTTGGCTCTGGTTGTAGGGCTGCTCCTGCCTGGGGCTGCCCCACCTGGAGCCCCACTCTGCCAGCAGCAGGGAGTGAGGAGACAACTGGGAGTTACCGTGCAGGTCTTCCCCTCCTGGTGGCCTTGGGGCTTTGGTCCTCTGGAAACCTAGACAATTGGGGAAGGGAAGGTGAGGTGAGAAGTTCTGGGTAGGAGAAAGAGACATGGAGTGATTCTGGGGTGCAGGAGTGGGTGGGACGAGCTGACATGGAGGCTTTTCTGGGTCTGTTCCCTTTGCCTGGACGTGGATCTTGACACCCAGTGGAGGATGAAGCCACCAGGACCTCTCTCTGTGCCCACCTCCTCTCCCTGCTGCCCCGTGGCTCTGCTGGGGCCCCGTTCCTGGCAGCCACAGAGCTCCTGTCCTGCCCGAGGGTTGGGGGATATCTGACCCCTGCCACCACCCCCCAGACCCCCGGGGTGTGGAAGGAGGGAGAGCTGAGCTCCAGAGACATGAGGTGCTAACCCTGTAGAAAGCCTGGTGGCAGCTGGAGGGTTTCTGAGGGACACTGCAGGCCCTGGAATGTCACCAGCTGCCCTATCCCAGAGTCTGTGGAGGAGGAGACTCCATTTGCCCCAGGATTTAGCCTGGAGAAGAGAAGGCTCCAGGGAGACCTTAGAGCAGCTTCCAGTGCCTGAAGGGGCTCCAGGAAAGCTGGGGAGGGACTTGGGACAAGGGCAGGGAGGGAGAGGACAAGGGGGAAGGGATGAAAACTGGCAGAGGGGAGATTGAGGTGAGACATGAGGAGGGAATTGTGGAGTGTGAGGGTGGTGAGAGCCTGGCCCAGGTTGCCCAGGGAAGCTGTGGCTGCCCCATCCCTGGCAGTGTTGAGGGGCAGGTTGGATGGGGCTTGGAGCAACCTGGGCTGGTGGGAGGTGTCCCTGCCCATGCAGGGGGTTGGAGCTGGGTGATCTTGAAGGTCCCTTCCAACCCAAACCTGTCTGGGATTCTATGAAGCCCCAGGTGCTGGCAGGGTCCAGCAGCCTCTACCCAGCAGGGAGAGCAGGCAGAGGGGTTGGCATCCTCTCAAGAGCCCCCCATGGGGAGAAGGAAGCCCCTCTGGGCAAGGACTGGCCTGGGGATGCATTCCATGGCACAGCAGAACCTCACCTTTGTTGTCCTGACCTCCCAGGCTGGGCAGCCCCCGGGGACCTGCAAGAACCCGGGCACAGTTACTGGGGTGATGGCAACACCTGCCCTGGCTGGAGGGGGTGGCAGAGCCTGGAGCTCCCAGGGGGCCTGGTGCCCTCCCCACTTCTGGAAAGGGAAGGAAGAAGCCCCTCAACCCTCCCGCCCTCCACCTGCTCTGCCAGGACTTGGAGCCCAGGCTTTGGTACCTTTGCCAAAGGAGAGTTTCTTGAAGAGCTGGGGGGTGGTGTCCTTGGGGTGAACCTCCACTGTCACTTGGGTTCCTGCAAGAAACCATGACAAACCCCCTGAGGAAAGGGGAAACCTAGCAGGCCACGGAGGAGAAGGGCAGGGTTGCTGAGGCTGAACCCTGAACCTGAGCAAAATAAATGGCAGGTTGGGAAGGTACCAAAGGGCTTGGATTTCCTGGCAAAACAAAACAACCCCTGAGATAAACTCAGAAAACATCTGCTCACCTCTGGTGTGACTTGTGGTGCTCAAAAATTAAAAGACAGCCCTTTAGAGCCTAAAAAGGGAGGAAGTGGATCCTCAGAAAGGCTGCAGGAAAGCTGGGGAGGGGCTTGGGACAAGGGCAGGGAGGGAGAGGACAAGGGGGAAGGGATGAAAACTGGGAGAGGGAGATTGAGGTGAGACATGAGGAGGGAATTGTGGAGTGTGAGGGTGGTGAGAGCCTGGCCCAGGTTGCCCAGGGAAGCTGTGGCTGCCCCATCCCTGGCAGTGTTGAAGGGCAGGTTGGATGGGGCTTGGAGCAACCTGGGCTGGTGGGAGGTGTCCCTGCCCATGCAGGGGGTTGGAGCTGGATGGTCTTGAAGGTCCCTTCCAACCCAAACCATTCAGTGATTGAAAATGGTTTGACTGTTGACATCAAACTCTTTTGCCTCCAAGAGCTCTGGCAGAGCCCTGGGATTTGTGCTCCAGGAGCCAGGCTGCTCCAGACCCACCTGAGATGGAATCCTGGGAGTCTTCACGTGCAACAATTCATGGAGATAAGTCCAAGGAAAAAAAGTTAGGGAATGACTTGTAAGAACTACCTGAACTTTTTGAAAGAAACTGCATATTTCTTTTTTTTTTTTTTGGCAAGCCCTCCAGGTTTTGCAACCACTGAGGTTCCCTGGAGGACCCCAGGGCTCTGGTGGGCTCCCCGTTCTGGATCAGGCAGGGGTTCCTTTAGAGACTGAAGGTCAAGATGGGAATGCAGCTCGGGGCTGCTGGCCAAGCAGTCCTGCCACCACCAGAGCCTTGGGACACCTGGAGTGTTCCTTGAAAGCCACCTCTTGGAACCAGCTCATTAGGTAGGAATCTGCAGAGTCATCAGGGCTTTCCTGCAGGCTTGAACCTGACATGGAAGGGTTTTTTCATCTCCTGTGGTTATGCTGAAAAGTGAGGTGTCCTTCAGAGCCTCAGAAGGCCAGAGAAGTTGTAAAACTCCCTTTGAAATCCCCAGGTTTTACGCCTGTTCTGGGCTGTTGGCATCTCAGGGTGTTGAGATCTGAGCTGCTTGGGAACTTCTCAGTTCCAAGGGAAACTGAAGCTGTTGCCAAAGGCACAACTCGGTGCCACCAGCCCCGCTGCCTCCTGATTTCTTGGCTTTCCAGGGGTCCCTTTTTATTTCTGGAAACCATTTGCATCTTTGGGTTTTTGTGAGGCTTTTTTTTGGTTTTTTTTGTTGACAACTTCCACCTTCTCAGTTTCCCCCCATAAATTAAAATCCCTTTTTTTTTCAAGGGATTTAAAGACCAGAGATGCCTCCTGCCAGTGCCTTGAAAAGCAACTTAAAAACTAAGAAAAAAGCAGCAATTCACAGAAATTTTGCAAAGTGCTTCATCTGTTGCTTTAAAACCTGAAACAGTTTTTGAAACAGTTGCTGATTTTTTAAAAAATTATAGATATTTTTAATATTCCTAATCCAGGTTTCCTTCATGCAGGACCATGTGCATGTCTCCTCCTGTCTGTGGCCAGGGAAGTCCTGGGACAGGGTGTGCTTTGGGGTGCAGCTGCCCCCAGGGCAGGGACCCTGCAAGGGTCTGGCCTAGGAAAGGACTTCTCCAACCAGCTGAACTTCTGGCAACATGATTCCTTGCACCCTTCCATCAGCACTGGAGTAGCTGTCTCTGGGCAGGATTGTGTTGTTATCCTGCTTTTGGATTCCATCAAGGCCATGTCCTGGCACTCAGGGGAATGGTGGGAACCCAGGGGCTCCGTGCTGAGAGACCCAAGGATTCTCCTGGAGCCCTTGGGATTTTTAATTCTTCACTCTCAAGATCACAAAACGGGACTTTCTGGCTCTTTTGGTGTGTTCTGAGGTTATTTTTTCACCGGGAAGCTGGCGTGTGAGCTGACTGAAGCCCTGCCCTGAAACCCCCCCCTGTGTCCCTTGGGTCCCCACTTACCTTCGTTGGAGTAGGAGGTGACGGTTTGTGTCTGGGTGCAGAGCTCCCTGGGGACCTGCTGCCCTGCTGGCACAAGGAGAAACAGCTCAGAGCCTTGAGGAGAGCAGGAGTGGGCTCAGCCTGTGCCCTGGCTCAGCACTGCAGCAAGTGCCAGCCCTGTGCTCCAGCTCTGCCCCCAGCTCCAGGGGGATGCTCCAGCCTGGAGAAGGCTGGGGTGGGCACTGCTGCTTTGCTGGGGGGTCAGGGTGCTCAGGCAGCAGGTGCATGTTTGGAGAGGTGAGTGGGTGGGTTAGTGGGGCAGCATCGGTGTGTTGGTCACCTTCTCATCCTCACCTCTGTGCTCTGGGAGCCCCTGGCTGTGAACATCTGCAGGGGGTGGCAGGAGGATGGGCCAGACTCTGCTCAGGGGTGTCCAGGGACAGGACAAGGGGCAATGGGCACAAACTGGAGCTCAGGAGGGTCAAGTTCAACATGAGGAAAAGCTTCTTGCCTGGGAGGGTGACAGAGCCCTGGGACAGGCTGCCCAGGGAGGCTGTGGAGTCTCCATCCCTGCAGACATTCCAGCCCCACCTGGATGTGTTCCTGTGGGATCTGCTCTAGGGGATCCTGCTCTGGCAGGGGGTGGACTGGGTGATCTCCAGAGGTCCCTCCCAACCCTGATGACTCTATAACATGAGATAATTTAAGCCAGCATTGCCTTTACCCAAGCAGAGCAGACACACAAGTCAGAGAGAGCTGGTTTAGCAGGACAGTGCTCAGGAACTAAGCCCTTACTACTGAGGATGGTATCTCTTCAGGATACATCAGCACCTCCCACACTCTCCTGTTTCAGGCACTTTTCCTAGGGCCCAGAACTAAACACAGTGCAGGTCTGAAGTCCTTTTCCCATAGAATCCCATCAAGGAGCTCCTAATGATTGCATGTTTCCGAGCAGACAATTTTTCATAAAACACTACTTTAGTGTAATGATAGTTTCACATTCATTCCCTGCATAATTTCCTTAGCTGAATGTTCTGAAACTAATGCCAGGCTCACCAGAAGAAGAAATAACTTCTCTTGCCCATCAAAGGGCAAACAGCACCCAATCTGCAGGGGGTGGCAGGAGGATGGGCCAGACTCTGCTCAGGGGTGTCCAGGGACAGGACAAGGGGCAATGGGCACAAACTGGAGCTCAGGAGGGTCAAGTTCAACATGAGGAAAAGCTTCTTGCCTGGGAGGGTGACAGAGCCCTGGGACAGGCTGCCCAGGGAGGCTGTGGAGTCTCCATCCCTGCAGACATTCCAGCCCCACCTGGATGTGTTCCTGTGGGATCTGCTGTAGGGGATCCTGCTCTGGCAGGGGGTTGGACTGGGTGATCTCCAGAGGTCCCTTCCGACCTCAACCACTCTGTGACTGTGATGGTCCCAGCAGTGCCAGCCTGGGGGTCCTGGGGTGGGTGTCAAGGGCCACCAGGGACCAGGGCCAGGAGCCTGGTTTCCAGGGCTGGTCCTGAGGCCTGGCACTGTCCATACCCCATAGCTGGGGCAGGTAGGATGGGCTGTGTGGTGGGTTTGGTGGCTCCTGTGCTGTGGTTTGCAAACCCTTCAGCAGCACCAGCTGCTGGGTATGTCAGCACCTTCATCTAGATGCTATCAGGGCCAGCTGAAGGGGAAGCATTAACCCCTGCAGTGCTAGGGGAGCAAGAGCTCTGCCTGCTTCTCTGCCATCTCAGCAGCCCTCACAGGGATTTCAGTTGTGCCCAAGGTAAAGCTGCAAGGAAAGGTTTCCCTTGGGCATGGGACATGCTCCTGCTGGGTGGTGAATGATGGATCCTGTCCTCTCCCTCCCAACAGAGGCTCTGAATTGTCTCTGCAGACCCTCTTGAGCACAACAGCAGAGTGAGGGTGTTGAATATTTACCCACTTCCTAGAGTGGAGGTTTTGCTGGCTGGCATCTGAGACCCTCAGATGTGTTGGGAGAAAATAACACCCCAAAGTTGATTCTTGCCATGAACTACTTGTTGCCCCCAACCTGAGGGAGCCATCCAGCCCCACTGATCCCAGAGGGGCTTGGACCAGGGCTCCTGGGCAGAGCTGTGGCTTTTGTGTGTGGTTGTGGCTTGGCCTGGGGAAGCAGAGCTCTGGGTACTGAATCCCCTGTTGTCTGGCTTCACCTGTGCCCCCACCTTTCCCTGCTGGACCCCATGGGAGGCTTGGATTGCCAGGAACAGGTTGCCCAGGGAAGCTGTGGCTGCCCCATCCCTGGCAGTGTTGAAGGGCAGGTTGGATGGGGCTTGGAGCAACCTGGGCTGGTGGGAGGTGTCCCTGCCCATGCAGGGGGTTGGATCTGGGTGATCTTGAAGGTCCCTTCCAACCCAAAACCAGTCTGGGATTCTCTGGAAGCAAAGCTGGATGGGCTGATTCCCTCCCCTGGGAGCTGCTCTGTCCTGTGGCACAGCAGCCCTGCAGCCTGGCTGGGTGCAGCCAGGGGGGAAACCTCTTCAGATGTCCCTTCTACACTGCTCCAGGCCAGCGGAGGGAGGAACTGGCAGGGGAACATTCCAGGCTGGCATTCCCTGTGGTTCCTGGGTAGCGCCCAGGAGATGCAGGAGGTGTTGGTGGGGGGACAGCTTGAAACCCCAGAGCTTTCCTGCACCCCCCAGCTGGGTGAGTTTTGGGGAAAAGCTCTGGAAGCTCCACCTGCAACCTGAGCAATCGGGTCCCCAGCTCCACCTGCCCCCAGAGCAGCCCCCAGGAGCCAGGAAGGGCCGGGCTGTTCCCTGCAGGGCGTTGCTGAGGGGCAGGGCTGGGTGTGCTGTGGGTTTGCTGCTCTGCGGGTGGTTTTGAGAGAGAGAAGAAGACATTTGAGAGTGAGAAGAAGACACATACCATGTAGGTCCCTCCCCTGAGGTGGCCGGGATTTGCTGTTTCCATTTCCATCGTCCTGCAAACCTGTAAAACACAAAGATGAGCCTGGCAGGCTGACTCCTTGGAGAGAGGTTCTGGCTCTGCTGGGCTCCCCAGAACCCGGTGTGTCATCCCAGCTGGAGCTGGATGTCCCCGGGACCCACCTGCCCAGCCTCAGCCACAGGGTTTCTTGCAGCCCCCGTTGCTGGAGCGTAACATAAGAGGAAGAAAAAAGGTGCAGCAGCCCATGTCTGAGCTGCTCCTGAAGGGCTTGTTGGTGCCTGTGCTGGATGCCCTGGGAGGTGCAGCCTGCCCAGCTGTGCCTGCACATCTGGCTCTCCCCCAAGCTTTCAGAGCGGCAATGCTCCTTTTTCTCCGTGCACTGCCGCAGGGAGGGCTCCCCCGAGAGCTGCAGGGCACAGCTTGGGCCTTTTGCAAGATTCCCCGGCAGGACTGAGGAGCCGGGCCAGGCAGCCCGTCCCAAACTGCAGCTATAAATGGCTCGGGGCAGCCG